TATCGTTCTATCTTAAATTCGTATTTTACGTTATTTGGTGTCGTGCCGGTTTTGTCGCGAAACTTCGATAGGTCATAACTTCCTCGTTATAACTTGGATTTCAGCGTTGTTTATATGTACGGAATCCTTGTAACATATACTATAACTTAGTTAAGATTACTCATTCTAAATAATCTGTCATCAAAAATTCATTTTTGACGCTTATCGTCTCTAAATTGACTAGCCCTGATCTACGGGCATTACACTTCCTCTTTCTCTATCCGACATGTTGACCTGGGATGTCAACAGGTAAGTAATTCTATCTCAAAGCCCTTGTTCTTGGCTCTGATACCAATTCAAGTTCAGAATATGCAAACACAATTAACCAAAATTGTTTACAATGACTCTCAATGATCATAAATCGATCTAAAAGCAACATGTATATATATATATACACACACACACACACACACACTAGGTGTGAACCCGCGCAAAGCGGTGGCGACAATTATTATTGTTTTAACAAATGACTTTTTTTTTCAAAAAATGTTGTTTGACTATTTCAATGGCTACAAATTTTCTGACTATTATGTAAGAAATATTTCATGCCCGACCTTTGGACAAACATCATGCCCAAGTTAAGATAATATAAATCCTTTCTCTACATCGAGTCCTTAGAAGATGATTAGAAATTAATTATAAAATAAAAATAAAAAAATTCGAAGCTTTTTTCAGAGAATGTTTTGAAGGTTTCATCTATGACTAATTATCTTGGATTATTTTCAATAATAAGGATGAGGAGGAAAATAATATCTCATGGAACGGAACGATGAGATATAGAAAGAAATGGACTAAACAAAAGAAAATGCATTTTTGTGCAATAAACATTAGTCGATTACACACTAAGCATAATTCATCTTGTTTTGTTGTGTACTACTTAACATATTGGTCCTAAGTAAATTTCTTATCTAGAGGAAGAAGCTACTCGAGATGGTTCAGAAACTGATTTTCAACCTGACAAAATAAGCTTTCCAAATAATACATAGACTGAAATGTAACAACGAAGAATAATTATATTTTATGAAGAAAAAGAGATCAAAGCGATAAAATATTCATTGACATACATCCTTGTTCTCAAGGAGCTTGAACCGACCAACCCATCAAAAAAGTTGGATGGATGAACGACACTTAATAATAGCTCTCTAGTAATACTTCGGAGAAGATAATATATAATATCCATTGTTTCAGTCCTCATGCAGTTTATTAAAAATCCACTTCAAGCTTTCCATAAAATTCACTCAACATAAGAGAATACGCTCACCATATAAAAATTTAACATATACACAAATATAAAGAAAATAAAGAGTATAAATGCATAATTTTTTATGTCAAAACTTTACCATTTACATAGATATATGGATAATCAAGAATAAAAAAAATGCATAGTCATGACGGAAATAATTAATAGAAAATCAGGTATATAAAGGCCCGCCATTACGTTATAATCTCAATACTAAAACCAAAAACATCTTTGGAAATCCATAAAATTCCTACCTGTAAAATATCAATATGAAGCATGAATAAAGAAATAAAAATAAACTAAAAAATTAAAACCGAAGCTGAAAAAAAAAAGTGGAATCGTGAACTCAGCTAAATGAAGTGATAGTAATATGAAACGATAACATATATCATATCTTTTTACTTTTTAGTATAATCTTCTATCCACAGTAAAATATAAACAAATGTTAATTAATATTTCCTTCAATATTTTTGGTGATTATTTTTTACCATAATTATTTGTTGTTCATAGAAAGATGAGTTGTTTATGCATAATAAATTTGTACATTATGAGTTGTTTATGCATAATAAATTTGTACTCTAAAACCGACTTGCTGAAAATCTCATACTTACTTGGTTTCCAAGTAATACTTGACTTAGGATTCTAACAATGTAAACATATGTATTAGGTATTGTTTATAGAAAAAAATACTGAATACTAAAAGCTAAAGTTTGAAGCTTGATTTCTTTACTACACAAAAATACTCCAAACATAGACATTTTTTTCTTTATTGCTTTTTAATTACACTCTAAAAATTACTTGATTTCACTATTTCAGCTTGTAATTCACAGAGTTTAAAGGATCAGATAGTTTTTGTGTCAAACTTGCTTCGTTTATGTCCCTCTCTTGGTAAGTATTAATTATGTCCCTCTCTTGGTAAGCATCAGTTTAGCACCTTTCTTGGTAAGCTTCATTTTTTTGTGTCAAATATGTAATGCTTTAACTGTGTTTGTTACATCTATGGAGAGGTAAAAATTGAGAGTGAAATTGTGTAACGAGCTTAATAAGAATCCATCTTGACTGGGCCTACTATTGCTTTATATATTTTTAGGATTTTATTGAGGAATGAAAATATATATACACCCCAATTGGATGGATGCTTGTTGAGGTAATTCATCTCATTGTATATCCAAACAAATAGTTATTGTAGTTTGATTTCTCTAATTAATGTTCAATTTCTATTACAATTTTAATGAAACCAACAACTCAACATTTCCAAGAGTGGACATTAGTTAATGAGATGAATGTTCCATTTTGTGATGAATAGAAAATATGGATTCTCATGTAGAGCGAGTACTTTCCAAATAACTTTTCATTTTGTTTTAGTGCAGTTAGCTCTGTTTTGTCAATCTATAGTTTTAATTTTATTTGTTATGTGGGCTAAGGAGTTTCTGTATAATTATATGAGATACGACCTTGTAAAAATGCATATATGGTTAGTTATTTATCTTTCCTACATCATATTTTTAGTTTAATGATTGTTGACATTTTTCTTTCTTTGCATCAACCAAGTTGGCAATCCTTTTCTTATCATTTAACATTGCTTTAACATGCCATTATGATGTAATTTCATGTGGTAGAAGAGTACCATGCTCTTGAAATTTTTTAAGTTCAAGTCTCTTGTAGTTATGGAAAAAAAACTCATTATTTTTTGTGTTTGTTTTTCAGTGATGAAAAAGGATAGATGATATAGATGATAGAGCTGCTATACTTGGTGTTCGGAATAATACATCTATAATGGAATCATGGATGTTATTTATTTAACTCTTATGCAAGTGTTATGTAGTGAAAATTTCCAAAGCAACTATTTTTTTGTCACATACATGTTATTTCTTTGATATTGTTATTATTTATGTCTATTATTGTTGGGTTACAATAATTCTTATTTATATGTACATTGCTTGAGCAGTGGCAGACTAGTAAACGTTTTAGTAAGGGTAACATTAAAAAAATATTTTCGAAAAAATCTAAATTAGTAGTGGCATTCGTATTTTAAGCCGGTGCACGTAATAGTAAAAACATAAAATAAATAAAAAAATTACACCACATGCCGGAATTGGTGCAGTGGCTCGGGACCCCACGGGCACCACTAAGGTCCGCCACTGCTTGAGCTTCTTGTTGAATGCAACAAAGATACGACTCTAAGAGTTGTTATAGAAATGTTACCTATAGATTTTGAAAAAAATATTTAAAAAAAAAATTAATAAAAGGGCCTGGTTGCTTATTACAAACATGGCTATATAGTCAAACAAGACTGGACATTAGAAACACATCTGAACCAATATATATATATATATATATATATATATATATATATATATATATATATATATATATATATATATATATATATATATATATAAATGGTACAAAAAGGTTGGAAACTCTATTTTATGAGCTAGAATCGGGCTCTAATCTCCTTAAATGTCCCGGTTTTTATTAGAAATCGTGTTCTTTTAAGCTTGAAAGGATCCAGTTTTAGAACCAGATTTTATTTCGTTTTTCACATAAGACTTACCGGTTATAAGACCCGGTTGAAAACCGGGTTTTTTCATTGATTTAACCGGGTTCTATGTGCCTTTTTGTAGTAGTGTGGGTTGCTTAGTAAAGCTTCCGTACTCAGTAATTCCAAACCATTATTGACGTAATTACGAAATATGTATATATATATATATATATATATATATATCAAAAACATGCTTTTTTTATATATGTTAATATGCATTTTTCCCTTGCGAGTGACTTTAATGCATTACTTTGGTAAAATTCACTTCCCAACATTACTATTTCTACTTATAGATTCGGTACAAATCCTTTTTGCATAAATTTCAATCTTTTTACATGTTCTTGCCACCAAATCATCTCTGCCTTTTCGATTTTTATGTGGATATTGTTAGCCTCAATGTCTCCAAGGAAGGTACATTTATATTTTATACCTTAGTTTATAAAAAAAGTTATTTCTTTATGTAAAATAAAACGATAGATCAAAGACCTTTCTTGCATATACTACTGAAGTTATTAACGGAATAAATGGAGGTCATCATCAAAGGTTTAGAAAAAGTAAAACATGAACCAGATGCATCTGCAAATGATGGACCCGTTTTAAAGTTTAAGTAAATTTCCTTTATTTTTTGATTTATTTATTGTAATATGACACTTTGATACCAAGATTTTCTTGGTTATGTTCGTTTTGAATTTAACTCGTGTTTAACATTTTGACTTGCTTTTTGACGTGGAGGTAGTGTATTGCTTTTACAATGTGAAATAATGATTTTTACAAATAATTTTTCTCCATAAATAGCAATATATTTAATAGAGTTGTACAATGATACATTTTTAAACCAAATTTTATATATAAAGAAAAATTATTAGGTACGAATCAGATCACTTAAGTAGAAAAGAATACGGTTAAACCTAATGCACTTTTTATACAATATGGTATATAAAACTGTATTGTATTTCCCTTTCTTAGTGAGTTAAGTTGTGGCTGATTTTTTTTGTTATTGAACATTTTTGTTGTTACAATTAATATTTAAGCCCATTACTTTTGACATGGCCCAAAGAAGTCTATATTTGAACATCTTATTGGGCCACAACCTATGTATAGGCCTAGTAAGTAGAACCAAATCATTTATCCACCGATGACCATACCTCCATACCCATATCTATTTCACACAACATCTTTTTTGCTTCACCTTATAAAAACACCTTTTCTTTAAAGTTTGTGTTTCACTTTGTACACTTGCGTCTTACTTCACTACTTTACTACACTCCTATCTACCTTACATACAAAGCCTTTTTGACTCGGATCAAAAATGGTAAATGTCAACGTTACTCCATCCCTCATGTATTTACCATGATCACATCTTAATCAGCTGTCGGTGGGAGGACTTATCATATTAATACCTTTAAGTCCCTTTCTAGCTAATACAATATCTTATCGTTAAGTTTATATATATTTTCAGCGTGTAAAAAGTGTAATCCTGTGGTCTTTTAATAGTGACCATAACTCATCACACTTTGCCACATAACTCCATTTTGACTCCAGTTTTCTCTGAGCTCATGGCGTCTCAGATATCACCCTGGTTTTTAGTGGCCTTGTTCTTCGCTTTCATATGTTCTTCACAAGCTGTCACCTTGGAAGTTGGTGAGGATGATGGATGGACGTTAAACCCTGCAGAAAGCTACGTTGCATGGGCTGGAAGATTGAGGTTTAGGGTCAATGACACCCTACGTACGTCTCTTTTTCTTGTTCGACTTCATTTTTATCGTCTTGATTTCGGTTTTTTGATGTGTTTTTGACTGTTTGTAGATTTCAAGTATGATGATGCGACGGATTCGGTTTTGGTGGTTGATAAAGATGATTATGATAGTTGCAATGTTGATGATCCTATTGAGAAGCTCGATGGTGGTGATACGAATTATAGACTTGAACATGGGGGTCCTAATTACTTCATTACTGGTAATAAATCCAACTGTGAACAAGGTCAGAAGGTTGATGTGGTTGTTTTGCATGTTAGAACTCAATCGCCACCTTCACCTCCGCCTGCTCCAGCACCTCTTCCACCGGCTCCGGCGTCTCCTGTTACACCCCCACCAACTGCAATCCCTGTTTTGACTCCGCCTGCTTCTGCTCCTACCGGAGGAAGCTCAGCCACTCCAGTTGGAAGTAATCCGGCGGACTTGAATCCACCACCACCAACATTAGCACCATCCGCAACACCATCGTCGGCAACAGCAGTTGTTTCCGGTACCATAACTGCATCACTTGTGACGATGATCATTGCTTTGTGTTTGATTAATTGATGATTTTTAATTTAACATAAGATTTGAAGGGCTTCATGATTGTGTTTAAATCTTGATGGTTTTGTTGATCAATTTCTTTGTATTGTTTATTTTAAGTTGTATTGTTTATTTTTCTTTAGTTGATGTTCAGTTGTTGAGTGTTCATCAACCGATGTTTTACATTAATGTGGAATAAAGTTGGGTGGTTTAATCTTTTTATTTTTTTCATTTTCATATAAATTCTCCTATTTCACTTTATTATTTGTTCTCATTTGATAAAAGAAATAAAAAATATATATATATTTATAATGGTCATACATGTTTACATTATGTTTATATTAAACACTACAAGATTTTGTATTCTGGTTTGGTCTTGAACTTAAGAACACCATAAAGAAGTTAAAATAGGGTTGATTTACATGTATCGTTTGTATGTGTGGTCTACTAAAACTATACATTGCACATAACATCGATAATTTTGATTGTTAAATTACGTTTAACTGATTGTATATAAACATTCAGCTTTAATTTATATATGTTAGAGAAAAGAAATGTAGCGATCAAGTGTTGTTTAAAGAACATATTACACTTTTCATAACCCACGTCTGACCTTCATAATAAGTAATAAAAAGATATAACACCCGAGAAAATCTACCTATTTTTCTTTGATGCTTTTCGTATACATTTTTCATCATTTGTATTACGAATATAAATAAAAGGATAAATTATAAACAATAACTTAATTTTGTCTATCAAAGGCCTTTGACCTAACCATATCAAGATATGTTGGAAATATGTACCTTCCCAAATGGTTTAGTGATAGACAAAGGTGTTATTTTTGGAATAGGATTAATTGGTGTGTATGTTTGAGGTTCTAAAAAAAAAAGTTGTTTATTTAAGACAATTCACCTTTTTTTTTTCGGAATATCGCCTATTTATATTTTCTTGTGTTACAGCTTATATATTTTTCGTTTTCACAAAATAGCAACCATTTTTCAGATTTCATTCTCTTAATGAGTTATTATGTACAATGGAAGAAAGAAGAAGCCATGATTTTTATAATAAAATTAAAGTACTTGAAAAAGTAGGTGCTTTTAAGTAATTTAATATAGAAAAAGAAGGATAAATTAGTAACTTTTAATGTTACTTGTAATGGGATAAAGTATATATAATAGTGGAATTAAAGAATCATGTGAAATATGTTTTCCAAGCCTAAAGTTGACACATGTTCAACACAAATCACATCTTTGATAAGTTAAAATGCATGCCTACCACACACCTTTCGTGAAATAAACCTATCAGTAAAAAACTATATGTCATTTCTCTTTTATATTCATTATTTGATATGTTAATCGGATACCTTTTTAATAACCTATTTTCGGTATTTGGATGATAAACAAGTTAAATCTAACAAATTTGTATGTAGGAGATATAACTTCAATCTTGTCTTTGAGTGTTTCTGTGAATAAATACTGATCGTTTCAAAATGTGATTTGTTAAGAGCAGACGTTTTGCATAAACATGGTACATTACAAGTCATTTTCAGATGTAATTGAAGGCAAAGAAGGAAGACTTTGCGAGACTCTTCTTGGTAAACAGGTCGATTATTCACGGCGGTTCGTGATTGTCGTGGGCCCTTCACTTTCATTACATCGATTTGGATTGTCTCGCGAAATAGCAATAGAACTTTTTTAGACATTTATAATTTGTGACTTAATTAGAATACATCTTGCTTCGAACAAAGGAGTTGCTAAGAGTCAAATTCGAAAAAAAAAATATTGATTGTATGGAAAATACTTCAGGAGAATAACTTCGGATGACCATCTTGTGAAGTTATGAACAATAGAAAGGCTAGTGGTTATGATAGGAGAGAAAAATTTTAATTCCAATTATAAATATCATTAGCTCTTTTTGGATTTTTTTTCTTCATTGATACGCCTAAAGGTTGATTAGTTTATGTTAAATGTGCGTTTTAAATAAACCTCGTAAACTATAGTTATGACAAATTAAGTTGGAAAAAGTTATTAAAAAAACGGATATAACTTCATGTGACAAAAACTATTTAAGAAAATGTCATTATAAGGAATAAAATTTCCATTAAAGATTTTTTGGTGATTGATATATATAAAACAAGATTTACAATATAAAGATAAGAAATAACAAACTAGCCTAATACCAAATACCCCTCCTAGTTGACAGGTGGTGGACCAATTACGAAATTTGGCACAAAATTGTGCAAACTAAACTAAGGTCAAGGACACTCTTTAGAAAGATATCATCTAGTTTATTGAGAATAAGTCGAGTGTGTGGCTGATCTGAATTGGATAGGCGACACACAAAGTGATAATCAATATCGATATGTTTGGATCGTTTGTAAGGTATGAGATTTTAGCGGTGGAATATGTGACACCTGTTTTCATCACATGTACAACCTAGTGGAAGTTGGTAGTTTTAATGAGAATGAGGAGCTTGTGTAAAGTTGAAAGTGTACTTAAGGAGTTTGTTGGTATATGACCATAAGTAGATTGTCATTTTGGAAGGGCGTGACATGTCCTTGTACGTGTGCGATGCGTCGTGGTCAACTTAAGGTCATTGCACAAGTGTTGACTTTTATGACATGCTGGTGTGTCTGGTGATTACGTGTGTGTCTTGATGGGTGAGACACGTGGCGGAAAGAAATGACACATGATGGAAGGAAACAACATGTGGCAAGATCTGGACACGAAGAGTCCATTTAGTGAAGCAACATGCTTTTTTAACAAATTTTGTGTATATATGTCTTATGTTTGTTCCATTTGTGTGGTTTTCACATACATCATTGAGGAAGAATAATGAGGTGTTTTGTGAGGCTTATAATCAAAGAGTTGATGCGAGAACATGAGTCATGAGTTATCTATCGAATTAAGGTGTTAGTAAAATGGTAAGCTAAGAGGCATTGGAATCCATAGAATAAAGGAGGAGTTACTCTTACTAACTAGCCAAATGAGTAACCTTACTCTAACATGAGAAGTTTATATACGGTGTGTTGGTGCACAATATTGTATAGAAACATAATCGGTGATTATTAGGGAACCTTTGGACAACGTAAATTCAATGGTAACTATAGATATAATTTTTTATGAAGTATATTCAAGGGGGTATGTTAAAATATTAAAGGATTATTGGCTAGCCTTAATGATATTATAAGGCAATAACCAATGGTGTGAAATTATATTGATAAGTCTCGTATTGTGTCGTGAGATAATAGCTTCTTGGAGTAAATTTAAATAGCATTTTTAAAATGTGGTGCATATAAGGATGTAAAAAACGCTTAACGTTAGCTAGACGATGAGTTTAGTATTAAGGATTAATCGATTAGACGTTGATTAATCGGAGGAATAATCGAGAACCACAAATTGCTAATTTAAATAATTAAATATGACTAATATCATTAAAAAAATTCGTAAATACAGCTAATATCATAATAGAATAGGTTAGTATGATTATTACAATATAATCATTCCTCAAATAGTTTCTATTAAGATATTGTGAGGGGGCAAGCTTATTTGTGAAATACTCTCAAAACTGTTAGAACTCAAACATAATTTAATGAAAAAAAAGTGAGGAATAAAAGAAGAGCAATCAAAATAACTTTTCAAACTTTCGAATTGATTCAACAAGCTCCAATATTATATGTACGTTCTTAACGTATATCTTTTCATTTTAATATTTTGTGTGCCTATATACAATTACAAAAGGTTATTATGGAATGAAACATGGAGCATCGTACGTCATCAAATCTCAACAGAAAAGGTACTCGAAGCTATGGCGTTGTCGGCGTATGTATGCTACTAAACGTGTGTATTTTGAAGGAGAAATTAATATTATAATCTTAATTACTTCAAATCAAACAATGTAAAGAATGTGACCATTATATCTTTACGAAACTATGTAAAAGAGGCTCGAAATAACTAAGAATTCACAATTACGTTTACGTAAAAGAGAGATAGAAGAAAATTTGATCTTCAATAATCTGTTGGAAATAGGTGTCTGATAACTAATTGGTGTAATTTTGGAAATAATTGTAAAGTCCTTTTCGGGGTGTCCTCAAAAACAAAAATAACTAGAAATGATTTTAGGGGATTGAGAAAATGGTTTATTAATTTATTACATGGTAAAATTAATTAGAAATAATCTAGAATTAATTTAGGATTAATTGAAATTAATTTAAAGGTATAAGGGTGGAATGTTAATTGTTCAATAGTTAAGCAATGAGAATATTTGGGAAGCCATATACCTGGATGGTTTTGGAGGCTCTTAGGAGGCTTTTAGAATCAATGCAAGTAATAGATAAGGATATGATTTGAATCTTGATTAAATCTTAATATTTAATTAATTCAAATCATGGTTATCTTCTTACGACAACATCTATAGATAGGACCCTTTGAGTGCTCATAATATTGTTTGTACTTTCCTCCTCGAAAGCCACAAAAGAAGATGCCAGCCTCTCTCGTATCTTTATCCTAAAGTCTTTAGGGTTTTTTTTTTTGGTAGGAAGGTAAGAAATTTTTTTCGACTTATTTTTTTGGAAAAATAAACAAATGAATCACCAAATGAATCAATAATAACATGATTCACCAAAAAAATCCCGAAAAAACATTTCGATGATTCATTTTTATGATGATTTTGATGATATTCACTAAAATTGTCATAAAAGTGAATCTTTTTCTTGATTTACCTAAAAATGAATCATGAGAATTTTTTCTTGTGAATCATCTTACATAAAGTCAAGAGTAAACCTCATTCACGAACCCACACTATAAGAGAGGTATAAGAAAACAACTTATAAAATGACCATTGAATGGGTGTCCTTTTCACCCAATGCTTCTTCTTGTGGTGTATGGTCGTTAGCCAAAAGGGTTTGATAGGATAATAATCACATTAAAGTATAATTTAAAAGTACTAGAACATTCTACCAAAATCCCACTCTAGTTACTTTAGGAAAAATATGAAATTGTATGCTAATCGATGTAAAAGAATATTATTTCTTAATGAGTCGTTAGTAGAGCCTGTATGGTTAACTTGCATGTCAATGTGAGATCATGAACAATATCGAGGGTGTCGCACATGTTTGCATGGTTATTCACATCTTGTTTGTGATCATCAGCATCCCAATCACAAATCAAAGTACATAACATGAGATTAACATGCCATTGATTTTACAATGAATCTCAAGACATCTAGTAGTTTCATTGTGATTGAAATTGGTAAAGTGCTTTCCCTACCAAAAATATATTTGTGTTGTGACTACGACATCCTTCTTCATAAT